ATGTGCGGATTTTTTAATGTTACACACATATATCATCAAAACAATCGTTGAAGATTTAGATAAACTTTAAAACGTAAAGGCTCAATAACCAAGCAAGTTATGAGAGTAATATTTTCTCGATTGTATTTCCAAACACTCAATTAATAGCCTATCAGAAAGTTTTTTCATTTATATTAGTAAAAAATTTTTTTGTAAAGGTTCAAAGTTATCAATTTTGTTAATTTCACTATAAAATGGAATTTAGATAAACTTTAAAATCTAAAGGCTCAAAAACCAAACAAGCTGTTGGAATAACCTTTCCGCAATTGTATTTCCAAACACAATTAATTAATAACCGATCAGAGAGTTTTTTCATTTTTATTAATAAAAAAATTTTTTATAAAGGTTCAAAGTTGTCATTTTACTATAAACAATGGAAATTTAGATAAATTTCAAAATCTAAAGGTTCAATAACCAAACTAGTCGTGGGAATAATCTTTCCGCGATTATATTTCAAACACACAGTTAATAACCGATCAGAGAGTTTTTTCATTTATATTAGTAAAAAATTTTTTTGTGAAGGTTCAAAGTTATCAATTTTGTTGATTTTACTATTAATGATGGAAATTTAGATAAACTTTAAAACGTAGAGGCTCAATAACCAAACAAGTTCTATTTCAAAAAACTCAATTAATAGCCTATCAAAGAGTTCTTTTCATTTATATTGGTAAAAAATAAATTTTATAAAGGCTTAAAGTTGTCAATTTTATTGGTTTTTACTATAAAAAATGGGAATTTAAAATGTAAAGGCTTGGTAACCAAGCAAGCTATGTGAATAATCTTTCCGCAATTGTATTTAAAAACACTCAATTAATAGCCTATCAGTGAGTTTTTTTTACTTATATTATTAGAGAATTTTTTTATAAAGGTTCAAAGTTGTCAATTTTATTGATTTTTACTATTTTGGAGGTGCTATAGTGCCGATCATCTAAAGACATCACAAAATGTTGCCAATCTTTAAATGCTGATACTTCACTAAATATGGGCTATTTTACCAAAAACTCTCTATTTTTGCAATCTTCTGGACATGAAAAATAATGTAATAGAAATTTTTTTTGAGTTATTTAGTAAAAAAAAAGTTATAATGATTTAAAGTTATGTAACTTTATTATGTTATTTGAAATTTCGGCAACCATCTAAACCGTGATTTACCGATTATTTTCACGATTTACCGAATATTCACGTGACAAAGTAGCAGATCTTCTACAAATTTGGATTTTGAAATTCATGTCATAGTTTCCATATCTATTACGGTGCAGATCATCTATAATCATTAATTGCTTATAGTAACAATTGGTCAACTTCAAAATACTAAAACAAAAAAAAATTATATCATTTTAAAAAATTTAACCGATAAGTTTTATTGTTCATGACTCAAGCTTCAAAACTTATCGGCTGGTTTTTTCTTAAACTGAAAATTGGCAGAGCCTTAGCATCAGTGTCTGAAATTGAGTGCGGGGGTTTGTGTTACATATTGAATTTAGCCAATCAAATTTGACCTTCTGGTAGAAAATTTAACGTTGATTGGCTAAATTCAATATGTAACACAAACTCCTGCACTCAATTTCAGACACTGAAGCCTCTTCTCTAAATTTATGTGTAATCTAAATTTTCTTTTTTGTGTAATCTGATCGACGAAAATCATTACCAATTATAAGAATGTCCACCATGCTTTAAAACATCAATTAATAAATTTATTTTTTTTATCCCTTAAACTGTCCACATTTTCGAATAAGGGAATTTCGAAAAATTTTATTGGTAAATTACAAAATTCCACCAATCAAATCGCACAATAAAAAATTTTATTATGAATATATCAATTTTTAAGGTAATGATCGACACGGGCATTGTAGACTTTTTACAGTTTTACAAAACCCATAATAATAATGGCCGAATTTCTATATATAGATCAATGTATAGAATCTCAAATATCATTTGTTAATTAGAAAGCGTGATGATCAGAAAAATTTTTTTATATAAAAAAATTTAATCGTACAAATTTGTACGATAGCCAATTTAAGGGATAATAACATAATAATCAGCATGTAAGTAACTTTTACAACACAAAATAAATTTTTATAACATCATCTAATTAAATATTCTTTATTTTTTTCATAATAACCAGCTGGTAAATATTATATTATATTATAAAATGGCTTTTACAACACATTGTCTAATTAAATAAATTTATTTTTTGCATTTATAATAGCAATTAAGGTGAGATAATTTATAAATTTATCTTTTTATAAATTTCAAATGAATGTCTATATTTATTATATTGAAAAAATAATTATTTTGTTTTTAATTTTTTATAATGAATATTAAGATAACACTAAGGGGTTTAAAGAAAGAAAAAAAAGTATACAGAACTTGTATTGTTTGTTTAAGATATAATACTAATTACCAGTGGTGTCAATCATGTGATCCCAAATTGTTAGCTCAAAGTTGGACTAGTAGTGGTAATGACAAATTAGATGAAATAATCAGAAATACACAGCTTGAAGCAAAAGGACTTGATAGTTATCATTATCTTGAATGGATTCCTTATGACCAACTTGCAGTTGAAGAAGGAATAGGTGAAGGTGATTTTGCAATTGTGTACAAGCGTTAATGGTTAAATGGTCCTAGATATATTAGTGATAATGGTAGTGTAGCATTAAAAAAATTTAAAAACTCTCAAAATATTTCTGATGAGTTTTTAAAGGAGGTAAATAATTTGATATAATTAATTGATAATATATTAATTTTTTATTGATTTTCATAAAGCTTCAAAATCACATTAAATTTATAGGACCTTATCACAAGGGTGTTGCTAATATATATGGCATTTCACAAGATCCAAATACAAAAGAATGTGCTCTTGTAATGAGATATGCAGCTGAAGGAGATTTTAAAAAATAATTAAAATCAAATTATGCAAGACAGAAAGGATGGAATGATAAAATTAAAAAACTTTATAATATTACTGTATTTCAGGTTTAAAAACACTTCACCAAGAAAAACTTATACATTGTGAGATCAAAATTCCGCATCTCACACAAATCTCTTGATTTTTATTTATACTAATATTTATTCCGTTTTCTGGCAGTATCCAATTATTTAATTCTTTGATTACTTACTTTCTTTCACTATAGTGCTCAAGCTATTTAATTATTTACAGGGCAAGTTTTCTTACTTCCCTTCCGGTAACGTTTTCTCAGCAGTTGCTATGTTTGCTGCCTGAGCCAGAACGTG